TGGGCACACCCAGGCTCCCCAGGGAATGGGGAATGAGGTGAAGCTGTTCCAGGAGATGTTTAGGATGGATTTTAGGGAAAGGTTCTTCCTCCACAGAGCCCCCAGGGAATGAGGTGAAGCTGTGCCAGGGAAGGTTTAGGATGGATTTTAGGGAAAGGTTCTTCCTCCACAGTGCCCAGGCTTCTCAGGAAATGGGATGAAACTGCCAGGGGAGGTTTAGGATGGATTTTAGGGCCCCCAGAGGGTGCTGGGCACACCCAGGCTCCCCAGAGAATGGGGAATGGGGTGAAGCTGTGCCAGGGAATGTTTAGGATGGATTTTAGGGAAAGATTTTTCCTCCAGAGAGCCCCCAGGGAATGAGGTGAAACTGTGCCAGGGGATGTTTAGGATGGATTTTAGGGAAAGGTTCTTCCTCCACACTGCCCAGGCTTCTCAGGAAATGAGATGAAACTGCCAGGGAAGGTTTAGGATGGATTTTAGGGAAAGGTTTTCCTCCACAGAGTCCCCAGAAAATGGGATGAAGCTGTTCCAGGGGATGTTTAGGATGGATTTTAGGGAAAGGTTTTTCCTCCACAGTGTCCCCAGGGAATGGGATGAAGCTGTTCCAGGGAACGTTTAGGATGGATTTTAGGGAAAGGTTCTTCCTCCACAGAGCCCCCAGGGAATGAGGTGAAACTGTGCCAGGGAAGGTTTAGGATGGATTTTAGGGAAAGGTTTTCCTCCACAGTGCCCAGGCTTCTCAGGAAATGGGATGAAACTGCCAGGGAAGGTTTTGGATGGATTTTAGGGAAAGGTTCTTCCTCCAGAGAGCCCCCAGGGAATGAGATGAAACTGTTCCAGGGAACGTTTAGGATGGATTTTAGGGAAAGGTTCTTCCTCCAGAGAGTCCACAGGAAATGGGGTGAAGCTCTGCCAGGGGAGGTTTAGGATGGATTTTAGGGAAAGGTTCTTCCTCCAGAGAGTCCACAGGAAATGGGATGAAGCTGTTCCAGGGGAGGTTTAGGATGGATTTTAGAGCCCCCAGAGGGTGCTGGGCACACCCAGGCTCCCCAGGGAATGGG